CACAACTGACTCAGTTTCCCAATTTGAATCTGAAGTCTATTCTGCATCGATAGAGTTCAGGCTTGCTTGCTCCAGGGCTGTGAGAAAGTCCTCATTAGCCCACAGAGTCTCCTTGAAGGGCTGTGAAAAATTCCTGATTAGCCCACAGAAAGGAACACGCTATCTAGCTAGACACAGGCTGCTGACACCAGCCGGAGGTACATTGAGATAGAAAATGAAACTGCCTGCTCCTTGATGCAAGGCAGGACAGATAGTGGTTGAACGCCTGTGCTGTGCATTGTACCCAAACAATAGCACAACATAATGCCGAATAGTGACAGTAACACATCTACCCTGAGGATATAACCACATCCACATGTTTACGTGAACTACACCACATAAAACCACACAGTGCTACAAATGGTCACAATAACACACTCACTACGGAGCCACACAATAGTTAAAATTCCCTCCAGTTCTCCCCATGAGAATTATACAAAAATCACACATTCAACAGAACACAACAGCCTCTCAGATATACATACTGTCAGCCTGACAATATTATACTCATCTTCCAACCATAAAGTTCACATAAAGTTACATAATCACACTCAAACATCTTCACAGAGTCACAAGCACCCAATACACATAGTATATACATACACACACACAGCCCCCTCAAGCTAATAGTCATGCAGGCATAATTACTAGTTCTCTGATATATCCCTCATACACACACAAGTTATGCCGTTACACACATTCAGCCAAACACACGGGGACGCAATCACGCCTACACACACTGCCGCACAGTTATCAATCACATACACTGATAACGAAAATGTGTATACTTGCACACACAGCTCTGAGTATGTTCACAGAGAAACCTAAAAATCAGACCCGCGCACTCGTGGCGCCCTAGGGTCACTTAAGGTCACACTCACACACAGCCAAGAGCTCGCTACTGCTCACCCAGCTAGACCAACTCCCACAGGCCTGACAGCTCGGATCCCGACTGGTATTTCTCTTCAGACCCCAGGGCCGCACTAACAAGGACCTAGGCCGCTCACCGCGCACTTTTCCTTCCCCGGACAACGAGGGTCCCGCAGGCAAAAGAAGCGGCTGCCTTGAGTTCGCGGACGTTTCTGGGAAATGTAGTCCGTGATGGGACCTGGGGAGGAAAACGGAGTCCATTCTCGGACTCCCGCCAGGGCACTGCTCGAGGCAGGCCGAGGGGCTCGCTCTGCACTTGAAATTGCGCGAGCCACTTTCCTAGACACAACAAGTACAAGCTCGGACAGAAACTCTCACAACACGCAGGGCTGACATCGTGGAAACAAGCCCTATCCATGATACGGGGCAACATCAGGGAATCACTGTTTTCTGTGTAGGACAGTAGGGGCCAGGTTGGCGCCGGAAGTTGTGTGGCGTCGCGTGTGTTTCTGGGAAATGTAGTCTAGAGACGGAAACTGCGTGGCACTGGTCTGCTGGAATAAAGTTGCTTAAATGATTTCTCAAAGACCACACCCAGTGTCTGGACGCTTGTGGGCGTCGGAAATCACCGTAGGAATGTTCAGGATGATGACAGGTCGCCCGTTTTGCCCTCCTCTGTTAGTAAGCCACGGTGTAGGGTTTATATGACCCATATTAGTCATCAAAAGCTATCAGATTTAGGAAGAACTGTGAACGAGTGATTGCTCCTGAATAGGCAGGGCGTTCTTTTACAGTTTAGAAGAGAGAGAGAGAGAGAGAGAGAGAGAGAGAGAGAGAGAGAGAGAGAGAGAGAGAGAGAGAGAGAGAGAGAGAGAGAGAGAGAGAGAGAGAGAGAGAGAGAGAGAAGAAGGAGGAGGAGGAGGAGGAGGAGGAGGAGGAGGAGGAGGAAGAGGAGGAGGAGGAGGAGGAGGAGGAGGGAGGGAGGAAGAGAGAGAAGGAAGGAAGGAAGGAAGGAAAGAAAAAACACTCTATTCATTTTTATTTATTTATTTTGAGTCTGGGTCTCACTCTAGGCCGACCTGGAACTCACTATGTAGACCGGATTTGCATTGAACTCACAGAGATCCATCTTTTCCTGTCTGACAAATGATTGGACTAAGAGTGAACTTCACCACACCCTGTAGTGTAAATATTCTTTTCTTCCTTTTTTCTTTTTCTTTTTCTTTTCTTTCTTTCTTTTTTTTTTTTTGTTTTTTCGAGGCAGGGTTTCTCTGTGTAGCCCTGGCTGTCCTGGATCTCGCTCTATAGACCAGGCTGCCCTCGAACTCACAGAGATCCTCCTGCCTTTGCCTTCCTAGCGCTGAGATTAAAGGCGTGTGCCAGCACTACCTGGCGAAAATATTCTTAAATTAGGAAATGGTGATGTATGTGTAATGATACGGTGCGCTAGAGGCCTTGGTGGGTTTTGGACCAAGGTGCCCCAGCGGGTGAGACAAGCCTTACGGGCATGGCAGACAGTGGAAAGTTACTCACGTGACGCAACGTCCATGTGGCAAGTTTATTTTGCGGGGAGGGGAAAGGAGAGAGAAGAGAGAAAGCTAGAAAGAGAGAGGGAGAGACAGAGAGAAAGGTGCGGGCTACCTGGGGGAGGGGGGAGAGCAAACGGGGAGGAGTGTTTTTTTTCTTGAAGTGGCCCTCACAAAAGATAATGTCAGGACACTAGGTGGGTCCCAAGGAGGGCGGGTTCAGAACGTTAACAGTGTACACAACTCTGTGAATACACTAAAAACAATTAAATTGTATGCAGCAAGAGCTTATACAGGGAATTGAACCCTGGAACTCGTGCATGTGGTCTGAGTCTTTTTATGTCTTATTAGTTATAGTTATGTTGGATTTTTAAAGAAAATCAAATCCACTGAGGTACAATTTATATACAATAAAATACACGAATTGTATCTGTTTATTTTAAAATACACCTTTCAACGCTTCTTTCATGTGCTTTGCTTCTGTGTATATATGTGCACTACCTGCAGTCAGTGGTCTGTGGACGCCAGACAAGGACATCAGATCTTCAGGAACTGGAGTTACAAATGGTTGTGAACAAGCATGTGGGTGCTTGGAACTGGATTTAGGTCCTTTGTGAGAACAGAAAGTACTCTTAATCACTGAGCTATCTCTCCGGCCCAAGAATGCACTGATTTTTAAAATGAGCTGTTTGTATATGTCACTGCTGTCACATTTATGACCTAGACCTTTCTGTTTGATTTTTGTTTTTCAAGACAGAGTTTCTCTGTGTAGTCCTGGCTGTCCTGGAGCTCACTCTGTAGACCAGGCTGGCCTCGAACTCACGGAGATCCACTTGCCTCTGCCTCCTGAGTGCATGCACTGCTGTCACCTGGTTCTGCTTAGACTATTTTCAAACATCAAGCTCCACTCTGATGTTTCTTGGGCATCTGTAGGCAGAAGTTTCTCTCTCCCGTGCCTATTCCCAAATCACAGCAGCTGCTTCCCAAATAATTGACTTGGAGGCTTAATATTACTTATAAATGTTTGGCTGGGAGCTCAGGCTTATTACTGACTAGCTCTTACATTTAAATTAACCCATCATTCGTATCTATGTTTAGTCATGTGTCTAGTACCTTTTCTCAGTATGATATTCTCTTCTTGCTTCCTATGTCTGGCTGGTGATTCCTGAATCTACCCTTCTCTTCCCAAAATTCTCCTAGTCTGGTGACCTTGCCTATACTTCCTGCCTGGCTACTGGCCAGTCAGCATTTTATTAAACCAATTTGCGTGACAAATCTTTACAGTGTACAAGAGCATTATCCCATAGCAGGCATCCACTAAGTGAGGCATTCTTCATGTAGAGTTCCTTATAAGTGAAATCACAGTTGCTGGTAGTGGTGGTGCACACCTTTGATTCCAGCACTTGGGAGGCAGAGACAGACAGATCTGTGTGAGTTCTAGGCCAGCCTGGTCTACACAGTGAGTATGGAGTTCCAGGACAGCCAGAGCTACATAGGGAGATCCTGTCTCAAATAAATGAATGGAATTACATACTAGGGACATTTTTTACTTTGGCTTTGGCAAGATGTTTATGGGATTCAAATGTACTCTTTTCTATGTAAGTATTTCCTTTCATTGCTGAATAGTATTCTCTTTTATGTATTCTATGTCTGAGTTTGTATGTCCAGTCACATGTTTGTGGATGTTTCTATTATCTCTAGATTAGTTGATTTGAATAAAGCTGATAGAAGCATTTGCTTATCTTTTATAAACATGTGCTTTCATATATTTTAGAAAATATGTGGTAGTAGCTTCGGTGAATCTTATAAGCAAATATTTAATTTTTTAAGTAACTGCCAGACTGTTTTACAAAGTGGTCATACTATTTAATTTCACCAGCAATGTAGGAAACTTTGGTTTGTTCCATGTCCCACTATTGTTGGTCCTTTTTTAAAGATTTGTTTTTCTGTGTGTGTGTGTGTGTGTGTGTGTGTGTGTGTGTGTGTGTGTGTGTGTGTGTGTGTAAATTCATACATTAGTGCAGTGCCTGCATAGGCCAGTAGGGGGTGCTGGAGCACTTAGAATTTACAGAAAGCTTTGTGAGCTGCGTGTTGCGGGAACAGAACTCTGGTCTTTTGCAGAAGCAGTGTAAGTATTTAACGCTTGAGCCACCACCTCGGCTCCTCTTGTTAGTCTTTTGAGTTTAATTAGATTCTTAGAGAGTGAGCCATGGTATCCAATTAAGGCTTCATTTAGGCAGAAAGGGCATTGCCATCTTCAAATTCTATTTTAATTTTAGGTGCTTTTAGTCACATGTTGGCCATATTAAGTTCTTTCTTTCCTCTCTTCGGAGCAGATTTCCATTCTGAACTGTCAATCTTGTCCATGAATGATTTTTCTATAAAGCGGATTGTACCACCTTGTTTTTTCCCCTCATTTCCCAGTGGTTCCTCCCAGGAGTCTCTCTAGATTTTTCTCTTCTCTGGATCCCCTGCATTCTACAGTTTCTTCCAGCAGATGGCGCTGTATTCAGCGTGACAACTAGATTTCTAAGTATAACAGAACTCATGACCCCAGGTCGAGTACCTTCCTCCGCTCAGATGATGCACAGACAAGGGCCACAGCACTCTGATCTGCCTGACAATTCTGTATTTCATTCTGTGAAATCCGGCTGGATATTGATTCCTCTGCTGTACGGAATGGATAAGCCTCAAAGATGGCGGCCTACACGAATAGGCATCTGTGGGAGCGGCCATGTTCTCCGGGCCTCTCAAGGAATTATATGCAAATGCTCTTGAAGCTATGTGTTTATGTGTGTGGGTGTGTGCGTGTGCGTGTGCGTATGCGTGTGAGTGTGAGTGTGTGTGTGTGCGCGCGCCTTGTCGACTGTTGGCTTTCTCTGGCTTCACGGGTAACGCTGGGCATGCGCAATACTAATAGCCCAAGAGGACGGGTTTTTTTTTGTTGTTTTTTTTTGGAACACCGGAAGTGACAGTGGTCCTGGAAGGTGGTTTCTTGCCCGCGCTGCTGCTATTGAGTATTTCTGTTATTAATTCTATTAATAACAAGAAGTCTTCGGGGATGATTCCGGTTGGTTTCAACTAGAATTCTGTGGAGTCAGCAGTGTGTGTGGACGTTAGGAGTTAGTGATGCGGTGCTGTGTTGATGGTTGTCAGTGGCGAGGGTTTCTCCGTCAACAACGGGACTCTGAGTTTTGGAGACTGGAGGTTGGGCGGGTAGCCGGGTGTGAGTGACGTGAAGAACTGTCATGAGTGACTGAGGGTCTGTACCAGCCGTGAGATGGTGGCGGCTGTCATCAGTTTGCTTTCTAACCTGAAAGTTTAGCTCATTAATTTTTAGCCACTATTAATGTAAAAGATTTTCAATCTTTCGTATGTAGTTTTCTTTGTTATTATTATTCAAATATAAGTGGCTTTCTTTTTTAATTTGTTTTCTTTGATCCAGGGATCATTTTAAAGTGCGTTTCCTGTTTCAAATAATGTCTCTGGGTAGTGTTCGAGTTGAAAAATGCTTTATGGTCTATGCCATAATCACTTTTCATAAATGTCACATCTATTACATAAAAATAATTCGTTCTTTAATTAATTGTATTGTGATATAATAAGCATATATTTTAACATATCATATGACCTTACAGATTTTTTTTTTGTCTTAGTTGTGGGCGAAGGTATATTGCTCATATATTTGAAGTATATTGTTACCAACACTTGTGTATATTTTTACATAATACATTTACCTATTCTTTGAAAATTCTCTATACGTATACAATGGATTTTGATCTTACCCACCCTTACTACCTCCCTCCACTTGCGAGTATTGGGGGGAGCGTTTCAAGACAGGGTTTCTCTGTGTAGCCCTGGCTGTCCTGGAATTCACTCTGTAGACCAGGCTGGCCTTGAACTCAGACATCTGCCTGTCTCTGCCTCCTGAGTGCTGAGATCAAAGACATGCACCACTATGCCCTGCTATACCTATTTTTAGTAATAGGTATGACTAAATAGCTCAAGGGATATTATGGCAATTCAAGTGTCCATCATCCATTTGTAAAAGAGCTTATTTTCCCAAATGCCTTTCCTTTTTGCATGTTTTCTATCTTTTGTCCAGTTTTTACCCCTTGGCTTTTTAAAAGCAATTGCTAGGTTTTTTGGTTTTGTTTTTTTTAAATTAGAAAGAACCTATTGGTCTCATGATGAAATAATATATATCTTTATTTCAATTTTGTGGCATTTTTTCTTTTTCTTTTTTTGCGGGGGATTAGACACAGGACCTCAAGCATGCTAGGCAAATGCTCTGCCTCTGAGCTATAGGTTCCAAGCAGTTCTCTCTCTCTCTCTCTCTCTCTCTCTCTCTCTCTCTCTCTCTCTCTCTCTCTCTCACACACACACACACACACACACACACACACCACATTATATATATATATTCACATACCTTTATATATTATAATATATATATATATATATATAGTGTGTGTGTGTGTGTGTGTGTGTGTGTGTGTGTGTGTGTGTGTGTGTTAAAGCTATTTGTGTATGGGGGCAGCATAGACTTGCTATTTCACAAGTGTGAAAGTCAGAGAATAACCCATGGGAGTTGGTTCTCTCTTTTCCACCATGTGGGTCCCTGAGAGCAAAGTTGGGTCCTCAGGCTTGGTGGCAAGTGCCTTTATCACCTGAGTCATGTTGCCGCTTCCTGCCCCCCACCCATGTCATATTTTATCATATAATATGGTCTGCTCAGAAATGTGTGTTCTATCTTTCTAGCTTTAGTTTTCCTCTTCTGTGCAGTGGATGGGCATAACTAGATACCCTCTTGGACTTCGCTCCAAATTCTGACGACTAGAGCAAAATTGATGGTGACAGGTCTGTGGTAGTGTCGCGGAGCTCCTGCTCTTCCCTAGGAACAGCGCCTCGAGCTGCACGTGGTCTTGAGAGATGCTACGATAGATAAGAAGTGGAAGATTAACTAAAGGCAGGATTCATGAGGCAGCTTCCATGAGGTTGTCGTCCATGAAGGGGTGAGACTTTTGATAGGATGTAGCTGTTTGGGGGTCACCCATGCTCCTTTGGTTACCCCTCCCCTGCACTCTGTAAGCCAGCCCCATAAACTCATTGGCCTCACCAATTTGGACTTAGGTGAAATTCTATTTTTGTCTGTTGTTGCTCTAATCTGGGGTGATTAGACTGCAGCTCCTGTTTCCCCAGTGAAATAGCACCACTCACATCCCCTTGCACAGTGTTACACAAATACAGACTCCAAAGTATTTTTAATTGTTTTGGGGTGTCTCAAAGTACACATAAGTTTTCAGTCGTGCCTGAGTTTGTATACTGAACAGCATGTGATGGTTGATCTGGTTTGCTTTTTTCCAGGTGGTAGCCAGTTATAGCAACAGTAATCACAAAATGAATGTCTTGGGCACACTTGGTTATGTTGTTTTACTTATTTTGATTGTGTTGTCTTTACACTTTGATATCTATTTAAATTTTTTTGCATTTATGTAGTGTTTGTATTGTGTTAGTGTGTGCATGAGCACATGCCATGGTGTGTGTGTGTGCGCGTGTGTGTGCATGTGTGTGTAGCTGGAGTTTTTCTGCCTGGCCCACAGTCAGGGCAAATCTCTCTCACCTGCCAGTCCCACAGCCGTCAGACCCGACCAAGTAAACACAGAGACTTGTATTGGTTTCAAACTGTATGGCCATGGCAGGCTTCTTGCTAACTGTTCTTTCAGCTTAAATTAATCCATTTTTATAAATCTATACCTTGCCACATGGCTCGTGGCTTACCGGCATCTTCACATGCTGTTTCTCATCGTGGCGGCTGGCAGTGTCTCTCTGACTCAGCCTTCCACTTCCCAGCTTTATTCTCCTCCTTGTCCCACCTACACTTCCTGCCTAGCCAATGGCCAATCAGTGTTTTATTTATTGACTAATTAGCAACACACTTGACAAAAAGACCATCCCACAGCACTTCCCCCCCTTTTTTTTTCAAAAAGGAAGGTTTTAACCTTAACAAAGTAAAATTACATATAATTTGGGAATTTGGGCGTAGCTTCTCTTACTACTTCCTGCTGGAGGGGGGCGCTGTATCTTATGGGGAAACAAAGAAAATTTTAGGATTATGGAATAGTCCATGAGGCTGTATCATCTGGGCCAGATGCCTTGAAACCATTCTGGATGTTGGATCATCTGGGCCTTGGTGTCACCTTTCAGGGGGTCTTGGTTGGTCAAACCTGATGTATCTTAATCTTGAACAAATCCATAGCCTTTGACTTTCTGTGGGAACAAAAGAGACTCTTTTCCAAAGCAACATATCCTTATATACAAATTTTGAAGTCATGGTATCTTTAAAATATACATATTGGTTTAACTCAACATCTTTTATGATCAAATGTTTTTCTGCAGTTAAAAATCCCAAAGACAACACAATCCAGATTCTCTGTGTAATATTCATCTTTACGTGGCTTATTTTTTATATTAATTTTACTGTCTCTTTAAAGACTTTATTTTTTCAAGCTATGTATTTATTTATATAACTGTATATATCACCTTTTTTTTGTCTCTTTCAAGCCTACGTATATTTTCCACACATTGTAAACTATTACATCTGAATCTGTCTTATTGTGAATCTATTGCCTTAAACTGCAGCAGCTGTGGCTGCTGGATCCACCCACCTCAGCTTCCCAACATGGCCATGGTTTACCGCCAACTCTGGGAGCTATCGGGGGTCTATGCTTTTAGCCAAGCAGCGTGTAGCCCAGAAACCTCCCCTTTTGCTCTGCACCAGCAAAGGCTAAATCCACTATGCAGCTCAAAGTGCCACTTGCAAAGGCCTCATTCCCGCCATAGGCAGGTTGAGCACGCACGCTAGGAACCCGCCAGTAGCTCAAACCAGCAGCTGCCGCTCATTTGAGAGAGACAATTAGGAACTGTTTTTAGCTCCGTTTTAGAATCTTTTCTCAGGTTTTTAGGTGGAAACTCTTGCCACCACGTTGGACGCCATTTGTAGCTGGAGTTTTTCTGCCTGGCCCACAGTCAGGGCAAATCTCTCTCACCTGCCAGTCCCACAGCCGTCAGACCCGACCAAGTAAACACAGAGACTTGTATTGGTTTCAAACTGTATGGCCATGGCAGGCTTCTTGCTAACTGTTCTTTCAGCTTAAATTAATCCATTTTTATAAATCTATACCTTGCCACATGGCTCGTGGCTTACCGGCATCTTCACATGCTGTTTCTCATCGTGGCGGCTGGCAGTGTCTCTCTGACTCAGCCTTCCACTTCCCAGCTTTATTCTCCTCCTTGTCCCACCTACACTTCCTGCCTAGCCAATGGCCAATCAGTGTTTTATTTATTGACTAATTAGCAACACACTTGACAAAAAGACCATCCCACAGCATGTGTGTGTGTGTTAGTGTGCGTGAGCACACGCTGTGGTGTATATATGGGGGGGAGAGGACAGTCTGCACAGTTCAGTTCTCTCTTTCGCCATGTGGGTCTTGGGGATGGAACTCAGGTTGTCGGATTTGGTAGTAGGTGCTTTTTACCCTCAAAGATGTCTCCCCAGACCCAGTTTTCCTTAAATTTTCTACTCTTCCAGCACTGTTTATTGAGTGTAGTCCCTAGTATAACATTTCAGCATCATTCTGGGTACTAGTTAGAAGCATAAATTCTTAAGTCCTTAGACCTGCAGGAACAGAAACTCTGGGAGTGAGGCTGAGAATTTTTAATTGTATTTTGACACTTCCTCCAGAGCAGCGGTTCTCAGCCTCCTTAACGCTGTGGCCCTTTAATACAGTTCCTCATGTTGTGCTGACCCCCAACCAAAAATTATTTTGTTGCTACTTCATAACTGTAATTTCATATGGTTAGGGATCATGATGTAAATATCTGTGTTTCCTAGTGGTCTTAGGTGACCCCTGTGAAAGAGTTATTCAACCACAAAGGGGTCATGACTCACATGTTTTGAACCATTGCTCTGTAGTGCTCTTGGGAACCTTTAGATGCCCAAGATGTGTTTCAGTGGTGAATGTCTAAGGATTAAGGACTTAATCTTTCCAGGTTTTTTGGTGTCTCTGT